CCAGTCTGTTGGTTTTTGTTCCTCATCCCAAATCTTGCTGGAGAGAATGTGGAGTATCCTTGCAGTTGCCGCTACGTCTGCCTTTAGTGCCTCTGCTGGGATGTTGTCCGTTCCTGCTGCTTTGCCACTCTTGATTTGTCTGATGGCCATGCTGATTTCTTCAATTGTTGGTGGGCCAACATTGATTGGGAGGTCCGTGGGTGCTGCTTCGATGTCGGGTGGGTTCAGTGGAGCTGGTCGATTCAAGAGTTCTCTGAAGTGTTCTACCCACCTGTTTTGTTGCTCTTCAATGTTGGTGATTACCTCGCCTTCCTTGCTTTTCACTGGTCGTTCTGGTTTGCGGCGATTTCCAGACAGTTTCTTTGTCGTGTCATACAGTTGTCTCATGTTTCCTTCTCTTACAGCCTTTTCCGCCATCATTGCTATATCTTCCACATATTTACGTTTGTCGGTTCTGATGCTCCTCTTAACTTGTTTGTTTACTTCTGTGTATTCAGATTGTGCCTTGGCTTTTTCTGCTCTTGTTCGGCTGGTATTGATTGCTGCTTTCTTGTTCCTCCTTTCTTGAATCTTATCCAGTGTATCAACAGTGATCCATTCCTTGTCATGGTGCTTCTTGTGACCCAGGACCTCATGACATGTTGAAGTGATTGCCTCTTTGATCCCCTTCCAGTTGCTCTCCACAGTAGTTCCTTCTCCATTGAGTAGATCATGAAAGGCCTGGAACTTGTTGCTGAGGACTATCTTGAATGTGTTGAGTTTGTTAGTATCCTGAAGAAAGGCCGTATTGAACTTTTGTGATATTGTCCGTCCCGTTGTCCAGTGCTTCTTGAGTTTCAACTTCATCTTGGTGACCAGCAAGTGATGATCTGATGGTATATCAGCTCCTCTCTTGGTTCTCACGTCCTCCATCGTCCTCCTGAACGTCTTGTTGATGCAAATATGGTTGATTTGGTTTTGTGTAGAGTGATCCGGTGAAGTCCAAGTGGTTTTGTGAGTGCGTTTATGTGGGAATATGGTGCCGTCTATGAGCAGTTTATTGAAGGCACATGGGTTTGCAAATCTCTCACCATTTTCGTTCCTTTCTCCCAGTCCATGTCGTCCCATGATGTCTTCATATCCAGTGTTGTCCGTTAAAACCTTGGCACTGATATCTCCCATCAGAATGGTCAGGTCCTTTGTTGGGCACTTCTCGATGATTGACTGCAGCCTGTTGTAGAATTGATCTTTAGCGTCTTCATTGTATTCGTTGGTAGGCGCATAGCATTGGATGATGTTCATTGAAATACCCTCTTTCTTTGTTTTGAAGGAGGCTTTGATGATTCTTGGTCCATGAGATTCTCATCCTATAAGTGCATTTTGTGCTTTTTTGAACAGCATCAATGCAACTCCTTGTGTATGTGGGGCATCTTCTTCTTCATGGCCGGAGTATAACAGAAGCTCTCCCGAAGTTAGTCGTTGTTGTCCAACTTGCGTCCAATGTGTTTCACTGATCCCAAGCACTTCTAGGTTGTATCTCCTCATTTCTGCAGCAATTTGGAAGGCTCTCCCGGTTTAGATGGTGGTTGGAGGTAGTCAACAGGAAACCCTGGACCCGGGTTTCGTGCTACTTGGCACTCGTCAGCAAGGTGTACCTGTAATCTTGAGGGAACTGGTACTCCCTGGCGGATTCGATCTCGTGTCACCCAGCTTCACAGTCAGAGACGTTACCACTGAGCTATCCGAGCCGTGACTGGTGGCCACATTGCAACATGATCGATAGCATTCGATCTGCACTAATAAGGACTAGACAAGCATGACATTGATCACCACCCAGTGATCAATCAATTGTGAGGCTCTCCCGGTGTCCCACATTATATGAGTATTCCCTGTACCTAAATAAATGGTTGCTCTGGTTGTCAGAGTGTGCATCGGCCTCGTAACTTCCGAAGGAATTCGGCTTTCCTCATGAGGCGTCATAGTTCTTCTAAATGAAGACCTTCTGACTCCCAGTGCAGAGTTTAGAAGGTTTGAATAATATTTTCTGGTTAGCGTTTGTTTAGCGAGTTAGTTTTCTACGGGATGGAGACGCTAACCCCATGCCCAACCCTCCTCCTTTATCCGGGCTTGGGACCGGCAGTAGCCCCCGGAGGGACTCCAGGCGGAGTTTGTAATCTTGAAGGTGGAAGGAAAAGAGGCAGACGTAAGAACACTTTGTGTCGAGAACTGGATACAGACATTAACAGAATGAATATGAATTGGAAACACGTAGAAAAGAAAATTAAGGACAGAGTTGATTGGAGAATCATGGTAGGTGGCCTATGCTCAATTTATTCAGAACAATCAAGTCCAATCTTGTCATTGATACCTATGAATTTATTTCTTGTTTGCATAAATATTTTTTTTCATCATCACTTTAGATAATATGAATTGATTTATGCAAATAATGCTAAATCTACAATAATCCCAATATTATATAACAACACCCCATCCCTCAACAAAAGACTGACCACGTAAAATTCAACCATTCGTTGCTATAGCCACCAAATACAACACTAAAAGTACAATGTGCACTTTGTATATATATATATATATATATATCGTATTATACAGAATTGAAATTTCATGTGATTATCTAATATACGAAAGAACATTATACATCATAAATAATGATATGACACAACGAAGATACTAGCGGGAAAACATACTAAACCACAACGACCAGTCAATAACCAGGGAGGCAAGCCAATCACTGAGATTCAAAAACAGAGGAATAGGTTTGTTGAACCAAAAAATCAATGCCACTTGATGTTGTTTACTTGTATCTTCCGAATGTTATTTAGGACTGCAACTGATCAGTCTCATACTGACATATGTACATCCTATGCTGACTGCTTCGATATTGCCTTAGATCATAAGCTTTATTAGCAAAGATGGATGGCTAAATGGATAACACGATGGCGTTTGAAGCGGATGGTACTAGGTTCGAGTTCCAGAGTGAATATTAACTCTGAGATGCAGGTACATTCAGCTGATAAGTCACAAATAGGACGAAACGCGCAACCTAGATTCCAATGCTAGTTATTATCCATCTTTGTTAACAAAACGTTAATGATTCCAATCTGAATAACATGAGTTTAGTTAATGAGTTGTAATTTATGAATTTACGAAAATTTGAAAATAGATTGTTCAAAAACTAATTTCCTGAGTTTCAAAGTTGCTTTTTCTGTTCTTCATGTTTGGAGTTTATCCGCGACGTTTTTAGTATTTAATAATCGTGAAGTATCCAGCACTTATGATGAGTGCTGGACACTGTACCATAAATTACATAAATAGATTCATTTCATTTTTTTAACTCATCAAGTTGACTTGACCATTACAAATGTTAATGCATCAAATATATAGGACAATTAAACAAAACAGTTAGAGTAACACATAATCCCAGCAAAATTGCAGGGAAAAGAATGAACGCAATCAAATCAACTAGATCTTAAAGATACTTGAGTAAGATAACCAAACATTGAACAAATCATGATACATACATACATGCATACACATATACATACACACATACATACATACATGCATATATACATAGAGGGTGAGGACCACTGAGGAAATCTTAGAGAGTTTCTTGCTTATCTATCTTTCGACGCCAAACCCTCAGACGATTAACGGTTTCTCTCCAGCAGAAGCTTTACTTGGCAGAAAAATGCGATCACATTTCGATGTCATTCGTCCCATGTCAGCTCTTGAACCTCAACGAAACCTATCGATGTAGAAGCAATTCAATCGACGTCATGAGGCACAAAAACGATTGTTCACGATAGGTCAAAAAGTACTTGCTATGGACTGTTATGGAAAAAACCCTACATGGATAGTTGGTCGGATCGTGCAAAAGAAAGGGAATATGGTTTATGAGGTGTCAGTTGGTTCAGAAGTTTCGGCGCGTTATGTTAACCAATTAAAGGCAACTTCAGTATTCTGCAACGAGACTCGATATAGAATAACTCTTGACGCTCTGCTAGACTCCTATAAAATCAAAACCCCTAGAACAGACAGGCTAATTTCTGTGCAAGCAAGGAGTTATAACACTTCTTTATTGCCTAGACGATGAACAAATCGAAAACACAGGCTAGTCACTTAGTTGCAGTTGGACCCTAGCACGAGATCCTACGAATCTGCTGAAAGATGAGGTGTTAGCGGAATACAGATTGGATCAAAGCATATACCGTGCATGATTGTGATTGTGCACGCTGTTCGGTTGTTTCTTATCCAATGAGCGCCAGCGGATACTTGGAGAAGACTCTAAAATCTCATATAAAAACTATAAATATACTAACGTTTTTCTTAATGAGCTTCCTACCTCCATGTAACCTTGTTATCCGGAATATAATTTCGTTCCCGTTAAACCGTTCTATGATTTGGGGACTTGTCGAGTGAATTAGTGTCTAAGGATACTAAGCATTAGGAATAGCTGGGTCGTAATAACAGACATTAAAACATCAAGAATCATATGACGCCAGGAATTGAAGGGAAACTTTGCAAGTATGAAAAACACATGGGATTAACTGGAAAGGACAACCCAGAATATAGGTGGTTGGCGATTCTTGATCAAAACCCAAATCCTCAAGAGATGTAATAGGCTAAAGTTAAAAAAGTCAACAAACATTTTGTATGCTAACAAAAAACCTTAATTTGAAGCTTAAATCATGCAGTATATAATTGATTCAATCTCATCTGTTCAATGAATGAATAACAAATATCCTATCAATAATATTACAACCTAATATTTGGACTGTTATTACAGTTGTAGATTATAGTAATTTAAAAACTAATATGATGATATAATCTAGTTAGTGGAAACTATTCGAATTGAATTGTTTTTTCCTAAGTTCAATGTCCAATTATTAGTTGAGGGAAATATTGAAAATTTTCTACTGACCAAAGCTTATTATTTATGTTACTTGCCATTACATGTGTTTCTCGTTTTTGTTTAGTTCACTAAGTGTAGATTGATTTCAGATATTAAAAACATTCCCAAAACAATAACAGTCACAAAATGTGGATAAAATAAGTGAGATAAAGTCTAATTTGAATACTTCTCCTCTACTACTACTACTACTACTACTACTACTACTACTACTACTACTACTACTACTACTACTACTACTACTACTACTACTACTACTACTACTACTACTACTACTACTACTACTACTACTACTACTACTACTACTACTACTACTACTACTACTACTACTACTACTACTACTACTACTACTACTACTACTACTACTACTACTACTACTACTACTACTACTACTACTACTACTACTACTACTACTACTACTACTACTACTACTACTACTACTACTACTACTACTACTACTACTACTACTACTACTACTACTACTACTACTACTACTACTACTACTACTACTACTACTACTACTACTACTACTACTACTACTACTACTACTACTACTACTACTACTACTACTACTACTACTACTACTACTACTACTACTACTACTACTACTACTACTACTACTACTACTACTACTACTACTACTACTACTACTACTACTACTACTACTACTACTACTACTACTACTACTACTACTACTACTACTACTACTACTACTACTACTACTACTACTACTACTACTACTACTACTACTACTACTACTACTACTACTACTACTACTACTACTACTACTACTACTACTACTACTACTACTACTACTACTACTACTACTACTACTACTACTACTACTACTACTACTACTACTACTACTACTACTACTACTACTACTACTACTACTACTACTACTACTACTACTACTACTACTACTACTACTACTACTACTACTACTACTACTACTACTACTACTACTACTACTACTACTACTACTACTACTACTACTACTACTACTACTACTACTACTACTACTACTACTACTACTACTACTACTACTACTACTACTACTACTACTACTACTACTACTACTACTACTACTACTACTACTACTACTACTACTACTACTACTACTACTACTACTACTACTACTACTACTACTACTACTACTACTACTACTACTACTACTACTACTACTACTACTACTACTACTACTACTACTACTACTACTACTACTACTACTACTACTACTACTACTACTACTACTACTACTACTACTACTACTACTACTACTACTACTACTACTACTACTACTACTACTACTACTACTACTACTACTACTACTACTACTACTACTACTACTACTACTACTACTACTACTACTACTACTACTACTACTACTACTACTACTACTACTACTACTACTACTACTACTACTACTACTACTACTACTACTACTACTACTACTACTACTACTACTACTACTACTACTACTACTACTACTACTACTACTACTACTACTACTACTACTAGAAAGTTTAATGAATGAAGATTGTGATAGAAAAACAGAAATGTTTATTTTCATTTTCATCTTGTTAGTTGTTCACTTATCAACCTTCACTTCATTCATGTGAGTGTATGTGCGTGCACTTGTTATCTTGCTCATTGCATGTCTGTAATTGATCTCTGTTCAGCTATAAATATCGATTCACTTTTAGCTAAATTGAATTGGTTAACATGCCTTCTTCACCGCGCATCATTTCGCATAGCTCTCTTCACTTCGCTTCCTTTGCTTCGTTCCTTTGATTGTCTGCCTGGATCAACGATTGTACAAAATTAACGTATTCAAATCTTCATTCTCGTATTTGACTTATTTAATTCCATAGTTGAATTGATAAGCCAATTGAAGCTAAACCACCATTGAAAACCTGGAAGCACTAGATGGTCTCTTCGTTCTTGTACGGTATGACTCAGCAGTGCATATCCACTATCCCACATATGAGATTCAAACCAAGGACTTTCGATCTCGCGCGCGAACTCTTAGCAACTAGATCACTGAGCCATCACTTAACGATGTTAATGTCTAACATCAACTAGTCCACTACATTGCGCCACCATCCACAATTATCTTTAGTGAGTTTCTATCTAACAACAGACCCGGTTGAACTTCACTGGTGATGACTTTTCACTAGAAATCCAGAAAATACTTCTTGAAGCCAGTCATTAACGCGAGTTAATTAGATAGTTATATACGAGAGTAATGAAAATATGTATATTTTGATAATTCGATAGCAATCATTTTGCGATCCAAAATAAACTCAGATCTTGAGCCACTAAAAATGGAATTGAAAGAATCATGAAAAATATACAAATAAAATATTTCATTGAGATCATGAACTGATTAATGTTAGACCACCATTGAAAATCTGGGAGCACTGGACGGCTATTTCGCCCTATTGTGAGAATCCTCAGCAGTGCGCATACACAATCCCGCACCCCGCGAGATGTAGTGTATCAATGTAATCAGAGCTAATATCTTTAGGTTGTTAATAGTCTTTTCAATTATTAACATATCTAATCTTATCATCTGAAGTTGAACAAAAGTTCCAAGAGAGTTTCATGTACTTATGAGTAAGTTTTGAATCTCATCTACTTGATATGAATGACAAGTTCCAATTATTAAATCAGTGCATATTTCATTTGTCTAAGTTATTGTATTAGTGTAAAATCGTTTCAACGGTATTCTTCTGTCTCACTAACCATCTCCAACAAAAAATGTTGTACTTGTATGTGTCCATCAGTAGTCTTAAAGTTGACTAGTTCTGACAGAATGTCATTTACAATTCTACTGAAACAATCAATCATGTAATTATCTTTAAGGTGTTTTACAAAAGAATATATAGAGTATTAATTTTATGATAGGTAGTAACTTATTTGGATGAAATAAGCAAGAAATCTTCCATTTGGAAAGATGTGAATGTTGGGGATGGTTGGAAGAGAGTTAGGGGCGGCCAGACCAAAAAGAGGTATCAGTCCTTGAAATCACTATCTCCTAATCTTAGTCATATTGGTAGATGTAGAGTACTTGGTTGGGATCCGCGTGACTATCATAACCAATGATTGGAGACTGTGTGTGATATGGCTCAGAATCGATCATAATGGTGTAGATGTATATATCCAGACTCTTTTTTCTTCTGTTAAACCGTGATATTAAAATTGCTTTATACATTTCTTTCTAATTCTTTCTTCTTGTACTGCCCTTATACACAATCTCTCTTGTAAATATTACTGCTACTGAATTAACTACTTCTATGACTTTTGATGTTCATCTTGCGCTAATGGGGTATGGCAACTTGGACCGATGCATATATGTGCTGGTCCTATGTTGTAGCTGACTAACTGACTGATGTTTGTAAATTACATTCGATATTGTAGTTCTAATTAAACGCATTTAACCCTCTATTGATTTTCATTACCTTATACTTTAGCCTCATTGATTGATGATTAAGAAGAATGTTTTGATTAGTCTAAGGTGTCATATGATCACGATAGCTTTTTAATTATGCATATGATCACTGTTGTATTCGTGTTAACATGGGAGAATAACTAGTTAAGATCATAACATTTCATGAAGAAGAAGAATTAGTAGAAAGAAACATGCTCACTGACTTAGAAGATAGTTTTCTCACGATTGTTGTATCATATCACATTTTCATTTTACTCTAGAGTAGTTAGTCTTTAGTTAATGCTAATCATATTGGTAATAGGGGTACACTAGTTTTAACATAACTCCAAATTAATAATAGTTTTTGTTTCATTTGACTTTGGTGTCAGAATATATCTAAATTCTTCTTCTATAAAACTATGAAATACTAGTTTTTCTGTTCAGTCAATTAGTTTTCTTGTTTCGTATGGTATTTAAGAAAACTTTACTGACAAGTCAACCGTTTTCAACCTTATTGATTAATAGTTTTATTTTAAGAATCTTTCAACGGTAAACTCAAGTGTTGACTTGGTTGTTATATAAACAAAAATTAAATGAGTTGCATTCCACTATGTACATTAATATCTCAACTTCAAGATTGTTACTTCACATACCTTCAATTATTAGGATCTAATCAATTTTCAACCTAATTATTATTAGGTGAACAAAATTGCTCTTTCTATTACTAGACACGAATGATCAATATCGACTAGTTGTTCTTTGATTTATCTGCTAGTTCTACATTGTGTTATTTACTGTATGTAAAGACTAATAGTATTACTTGTATTTATGTTAACCTATAAAATATGATATACTTACACCTGTTACCCATCGTCGAGTAGCATTGACCGTCCATCGCCATTCTCCATCCTTCCCAGTTGATATTCATCTTCTTGATCTTCCTCTTTTCCATTTCCCTTCACGATTCCGAGTTAGGGCTTGGCTCGTGATTCAGTTTGGTGATTTGCGTAATGTATGTCCTATTCACTTTCATCGCCTTTTCTTAATTTCATCATCAGCTGGAAGTTGATTTGTTCTCTCCCACAGTAGACTGCTACTGATGGTATCCGGCTAATAAATGTTGAGTATTTTGTGTAGACAACTATTTATAAATACTTGTACCTTCTTGATGATTAACTATTCAACATAGTTAATATAATCACATCTAAATCCTCCTACTAGCGTTTTCTAAATTAATGTATTTCATGTGCTTATATATATGGTGAATATGAAGAATGTGACCAATTCCTGAGTAATTGTTTAAAGATCCCTATCATATTAAAAGACTGATATTTGAACGAAGAATATTCCCTTCAGGTTCTACAAATATCTCATATCGAAATCAATAATCCTAAAAGTGGCCAGGTGAAAGGCAAATTGCATCGTTTAAAGCTAAAGCATGTGAATTGTAGGATTGTCAAATGATATAGAATAAAACTGTTTATATTGATATTTTACCGATAATAATTAAATAAAAGCGGAAGTTTTTCCTTAAGACACCCCAGAATGGTAGGTCGGCTAGAGAAAATGATTCGGAGCTTATCTGCGTGGAATGTTTTATTCAATGATTTCGAAATCCGTTTATTTAGGATTTCGGCAGCCGTGTCTCCTTTAAATTCCATATTCATAAATAGAGTTTTCTTCTCTACTGTCAGTGCTTTGTCATGAAGTCTAGCTGCCAAGTTTCTATCAATGAATCTCGGTGGATAACCATTTTTGATGAGGGTCTGTCGAAGATGAAATAATTCCCCGTCTATTGTGTCATTGGAACAAATTCGCTTGATCCTCGAGGATAAAGAATAAGTTAAGTTCCTTTTTCTACTTAATGGAACCCAACTATGGAAGTTCATGTATTGTCCATTCCAAGTAGGTTCTTTATATCGATCTCTGTAAAAAACCGTCAGGCAAACTTTCTAAACGGATATCAAGAAAATGAAATTCATGGTTTCTCTCTGCTTCTAAGGTAAATTGGATTGATGGGTGACAGTTATTGAAAATATTCAAGATATCATTGAGGTCACTAACTTCTTTGCAAATAATGAAAGTGTCATCTCTTATATAAATGAAACCTCTCAATTATTGGTCGAAGTACCGAATTTTCTAGATTAGTCATGAAAAAGTCAGCCAGGAGAGGACCGAATAGAGAGCCCATTGAAACTTCATCTATTTGTCTATAGAAAACATCATTAAATCTAAATTGCACGTTGAGCGTGCATCATAGAAGTAGTTCTTTAAGGTATTGTTTCGAGATACATAAAAAGCAAACGGTTTCTGTGAGAGAACATTCGTATCAGCATTAACAATTTTATTCTATTTTGTTTGACAATCCTACAATTCAGTAGGAGTTTTGTGTAGATTTTAGAAATTTCACTGATTGAAATCATGAGTCAATTGAAGCTAGACCACCATGGAAAACCTGGAAACACTGGACGACCGTTTCATCCTAGTACGAGACTCCTCAGCAGTGCGCATCCACGATCCCGAAACCCGCGAGACTCGAACCCAGGACCTATCAGTCTCGCGCGCGAGCGCTTAACCAACTACATCACTGAGCCGGCCTGCATCCAACGGTGTTAATGTACTAACTTCAACCAATCCACCAAGTTGCGCCACCGTACACCATTGTCTTCAGTGAGTTGATATCTCACAACAGATCTGGTTGAACTCCACCGTTAACGGCTTCTCCTACAATTCACATGCTTTAACTTTAAGCGATGCACTTTACCATTAACCTGACCACTTTTCCGATTATTAATTTGGATATGGGATAATTATAGAACCTGAAGGGAATATTCTTCGTTCAAATATTAGTCTTTAATAAGATGAGGAATTTTAAACAATTACAATGATTACTAATGAGTCCGTATCCGAAAAAACATCGATTGAGATCTCGTTTGCACCTAGATGTTTAAAATGATTGTGAAAAACTTCAAATAGTAGCTATCCCATGTACTCAAACAAGTTGGATTGAAGTTCCACACAAGATCTTCAACTTCTAACAAAGTTGGAAAGGGTACAGCCAATCTGAAAAGACGAAGATCAGCGGAATCTGGTAGGTTAACTTTGGAGATCATCAAGGATGGTGGTCTAGTTTTGATAGTTAGGTT